ACAGAGGACGTACAATATCGCCCTCAGATAAATCATTTCAATAACAGTGCTATATTATTAATGGCCTCCATCATCACTAACATTTATCAAGTGCTTATATGTTCAGTACATCATCCCATACATTCTTATCATTTCCCTCATTCCAACCCTGCAAAATAGATATTATCTCCACTTTATAAAGAAACTACAACTTAGAAATCATGGGTATGTTGCTCATCAGAGCTGGCAAGCAATGAGTCAGGACTTTCTCCCATGCATAATTCCAGATTCTAGCCACTGATTCTCCATTATATCACTTTAGTAAAAGTGCCTAAGACTCTTACCCTTCTACCAGCTTACTATACCAATTACTAACCCATGGGGCTACTGTAAAAAGATCCAAAAACAAGAGCAGCTCCCTCCATATTTTCTTTTCACATTCTTGATTACTGCTGGGGAACATTCCTTCCTATTCTGTAGCCCACCACTCACATACACACACACACACACGCCTACACACAATCACAAACACACCAAGCTCCATTCTCACTCTTCTTTGTACACTGTCATCAGCCTCACAGTTGATGGTGTATCACATCTTCTGTAAAAGAAAATGTGTGATGAGGTGTCACATCTTCTGTAAAAGAACAAAAAAAATCAGCCATTGTAAAAACCAGTCAACCTCCCATTTACTAAGCTCTTCTTGTTCCCTATTAGTCTCAGAGACAAAATGTACCTATTCTCTAACTAATCCCATTCTGCAAAGAACACAACCCTAGGATAGTAAAAGGTTCTCACTGTCTCTATTGGCTACTTCCCTCCTGCTTCAAAGTAAAATATCGTCCTTGCTTGAAAAATAAAATGTTTTCATTTCAACCTGCAGCTGCCATACAACAATGCAAATGGACATACACATTGTATTTAATGAATGTCTATCATGTACTTGCCCTCATGCAAGGAACACTAGACATGAGTTTGGGTGACGAGGACCCAAAGGGTTAGAGAAGGAAGGTGTCATCTGAACATGTAATCATCCTTTATTTCCCTCTGATGATCTTGCCACAATACAGTTTCTCTGTCAGTGAGAAAAAGAGTGGAGAGGAGGCATGGGATCCCATTTTCCTCAATCTTCTCATTTCCCACAGGTTCAATTTCTGAGTCACCATTGATTCTACCTTCTTTACCTTTCCATTTCAGTTTCCTAAATCTCATCTGATTTTATGGTCTACCAACTATACTATTACCAATTCTACCACATCAACTTTCACCTTAAGGTCCCAGAAAAACAATGTGATATTAACATTGTCAGACTCAAAATGGAGTCACTTGCACCAACCCTCAAAAAAAATAAACAAAAGTCAAGAGGTTATGAAGGAAGAGTTCTCAGACCTAATAGTAACAATCACAAAGAACTTTATCTGAACCAGAATGTTGCAGAGGTCACTGAAAAAAATACTTCTGCAAGGACAATTGCCCAGCAACTGTCTGTTCAATCTTAGAATGGCACCACCTTGTTATTAAGCCTTTTGGTCAAGGAGTATTATAAAACATCTTGTGTAACTGCCCACATTTTTGCCTTAAAAACCTCCCCTGAGCTGAGCATGGTGGCTCACACCTGTAATCCTGCTACTTGGAAGGTGGAAATCAAAAGACTCATGGTTCAAGACCAGCCTAAACAAAAAATTATTGAGACCCCCATTTCAACCATTAGCTTGACATGGTGGCACCCACCTGTCATAGCAGCTATGCAGGAAGCATAAATAGCAGGATCATATTCCAGGCTAGCCTGGGCAAAAACTCAAGATCATATCTGAAAAACAACTTAAGTAAAAAGGGCTGGGAGTGTGGCTCAAGTGGTAGAGCACCTGCCTAGCAAGCATGATGCCCTCAGTTCAAACTCCAGCACTGCCAAGAAGAAAAAAAACTCCCCTCGCCTCAACCTCTTTGAATAGGCTCATAGTTTACTATGTCAGGCATATTCCCATTGCAACACTCTGTCATTCCTAAATGAGTATCATTTATCTTCAGAGATCTCTCTTTGGTTATTTAGGTTGACAGTGCCTTGTCCAAAATTGCAAAATCAGGTAGCTACAGAGCTGAGACAGATATCCAAGACTTCCAATCCAGGTATTTCCCCATGTTTCTATGCACCTAGAATACCTGCAAGTTTATCAGATATTTATTAGGCATCTAGTATGTATAACAGATTTATGGCAGTTGCTTTAGGGATAAACTCTAATCTTAGAATGTCTATATTATCAGGTAATAAAGGTATTCAAACAAACCTAATTCAAAACATGACATTTTAAGAATGATAAGACACAAAATTCCACAGGAATATGCAAGAATGTTCATAACTTGGAATGATCACTTGATAAGTGACTGAGAAAGTAAGCAGAAATAGAGGCAAGGACATTATTCCAAACCAAGAATACGAGCAATACCAACAAATACCAACAAAACACAGTGATGAAAGTAGCCTAATTTACCTACTGGATAAATAATGAAGAAAACCATGAAATTAAGGAATAAGGAATGGCCACACCACAGAAGCCATGAATAGGCTAAGAAAGCCTGAACAAAAGCAAGATTTGCAGCAGACCACCTGGATACAAATCCTAGCTTCTTCTTTAAGTGTTGTGTAATCTTGAGCAAATTAATTAACTTCTTGGATGAACCTCATATTCCTTGATCACAAACTGGGACTAACAGTATCTACCTCACAAAATTGTTAAAAGAATTAAATGAGTTAATACATATAAAGCACTTAGCATAGGACGAGTCAGAAATAAGTTATTATGTAATTAATAAGAGGTAAAATGACAGTTAAGCAGAGGAATAGCAATACCACAAAAGTGTGCATAAGGGAAAGTCATACTGAAGATGGAATTGAAGCATGCTAGCTATTACCACACATAAACATTTCAAGTATGAAGTATTTTGAGCCTGATTGATCTACGGTGACAGAAATGGGAAAAAAATTCTTGGAGCAAAACTATTATAGTAATCAAGCCTCCACTATGACACATCTGATCCCCACTTCTCCTACCACAGTATACCAGGTTAGTCTATGTGATGAAAAGGGTAGCATAGGTGGTATGTCACTTCTGAGATAGGTCATAAAAGACACAGGCATCATCTGTCTTAGATGTTCCCTCTCTCTTGTTCTTGGGAAAAAAGAACTACCATGTTCTGTGACCTACAGAAATCACAATGAACTGAGACTTGCCAGCAACCACATGATTGAGCTTGGGAGTAGATTCTCCAAGTTCCAATGACCCTTTATTTGACTGCTGTCTTTTGAGAGACCCTGATCTACAACCACACAGTTGAGGCTCACTCACATTCCTGACCCTCAATATGAGATGATAAACATTAAGCTGCCTCAGTATAGAGGAAATTTGTTACACAGCAAAAAAAAAATACAACTTTTGAAAAGAAAATCTGATATTCTTAAAAAATAACAGAATGAAGAGAGCAGAGGTGAATGTGAAGTCAAAGATACTAAGAATTCTAAGTCAGGAGGATCTGTTAGGTGGACTAAGGGTGAGAGAATCATGATTTTGTGACACATTGTTTAACTAGCTGAAGGGAAAGGTCAACTACAGATCTGAAATTCATCTATAAAGCAGTGCCAGTCAACATCAATGTGTAAGAGTGTCCAAGGCAAACTTGTAAATTGAGGGAAAAAAACACAAGGCCCCAAACAAGAACATCCCAATAAGAAGTAAATGAGCAGCTGGGAGAATAAGGATAGCTCCAAATCAGGGATACTCCAAAATAAATAAAAGCAGGTGGCAAGTGTCACATGCTGCAATGACCAAGTACATAATTTATACTGGATAAGCAACTTCATATATTCCCTGGTTTTTTTCACGTTAATGTTTCTGAAATTTGATAAATACTTGTGGCATGGATTTCTTTTATTCCCTAAAATCACTTACAAAATTGACAATCAGTGACATTTAAGAAAAAAGGAAACATGATAGTGACAAGTTGAACCTATATACATGGAATATCTTTCCAGAAATTTCTGGGTAACAGCAGTCAATAAAGCAGGCACTAGGCCACCGTGGTGGCTCACGATTATAATCCCAGCTACTCAGGAGATAGATTTCAGTTGGAGGCCAGCCCAGGCAAAGAATTAGCAAAACACCCATCTGAATCAATAAACTGGTGGCCCACGCTTGTAATCATAACTATGCAGGAGGTGTCACAGTCGGTAGGTAGGAGGATAGAGGTCTGAGGCCAGACTCAGCAAAAAATAACTGAAGCAAAAGGGCTGGGGGCGAGGTTCAAGTGTTAGCATGCCTGAATCCAAAACCCAGTACCCAATCCCTCCCCCCCAAAAAAAGCAGGCACTCTGCTGTTTTAAACTTTGGATATTATAAAGACATCTGAAATCAGCACAAAGGACTGAATAATGAAAAGGATGTGCTCATGAATGCAGGTGAAATCATTTAAACATCATCAATAGTTCCCACACACCTACCGCCTGCAAGTTGCAGGGCGCGAGAACCCACGCTGAAAGCGATTGGTTGAACCGTTCTCTCGTACTGTGGTGGGAAGAGAGCGTCAGAGAAAGTTTAGGAGGGCAAGGAAAGCGTAGCAGCAACTATATCAGGGAAAACTGGTGAATCCGCTCCAGAACCCACCTCGTTGCGATATCCGACAGTGCTCAAAACAGACCCAGGAGCTGCCAGATCCCAGCAAGGAGACATGCAGCTCGCAAACTCCCTCCACCAGTCACCCTACGCCTGCCACCCCTGCTGTTCCGGGCACCAGCTCTAAGAAGAACACCTGGGCAGGAGAAGGACCCTGGCGACACCCCGCCCGCAGACCTACCCGCCCGGGCCTACCCGGACCCGCTAGCCACAGCGCCCACTCTCGCCCTACCAGCCGGACCACCACGCGTGTCCCGCTCCGTGGGGAGGGTGAGAGGCAGACCCAGCCGGCGTACTGCCTGGTTGCCTCCTGGTGACTGAACACCGCATGGCGTCTTCTCCAGCTACACGGCTCACCTTGGGTCGGCAAACGCCGCCACACCGGTGCATCTCCAGCGCGCTCCCCACAAACACTGCTCCCTCCGGAAGGCGCGCTCTGCTGTCCCTCCCCCGGGTGACGCACCCGCACTGCGATTGGCGGGCGCTCGAGCGCGGGGCGGGGCTTCTCTGCGTCTGGGCGCTTCCGACTCTTGTGCGTGGTTGGCACCGCTACTCACACTGATGAACACAAGTGCATGGGAAGCCGGTGATGCGCGACTCGGTGGCCTTGCGGCTGACCTAGGGGCCCTTGGTGGGGAGCGGCTGGACAGTGCCCTAGAGCCGGAACCAGCCTCCGAGGGTTGTATTTCACATTGTGTGCTGTAAGGCACCAACTGACCTGAAATAATAAAATAGAAGCCCCAGTACGCTACAAATTCAGCAATCAGTGTATTTCCCAACCTGATGGGGGTGAGGAGAAGGAGATTTTCACATTTTCAGACACCACGCTCACCAAGAGGCTTTGCTGACAACTAGCTGGATGTCACGTTCTGTAGGTCTGAAGAGGGGAGAACTTTTATTTCTCCTAAGTTGGCAGGTGCTGGTTCAGGGCTCAGTGACTAGTGGAAGTAGCAGTCTCTCCTTAAACCTCAACGGATTGCCTGTGTGTCCCAGTGCTTAAAAATAGACTTTATGGTATCCGGACTTCCGTTCCTTCTGATTAACACCTAGGAGTGGTATGCAGCATTGTTCACAACAGCCAAGGTTTGGAAACAGCCCAGATGCCCTACATCTGATTAATGGATTAAGAAAGTGTGGTATATTATACAATGGAATATTAGTCGGCCATAAAGAAGTATGAAATTTTGTGATTGACAGGTAAATGAATGGAACTGGAGCTCATCCCTTCAGTGAGGTAAGACAGGTTCTGAAAGGCAAATTCACATGTTTTCTCACATGTGGAAGATAGATCCAAATACAAATACGAGCATGATTTATATATATGTGTGTGTGTGTGTGTGTGCGTGTGTAAAACATGTTTCCAAAAGTGGGACTGTTAGAGGAGACTAAGGGAGGAGGAAAAGAAGAAAAGATTGATAGGGAGTGAATTATATTGAAATACATCACTTCAGTGTAGGAACAAGACATGACAAAACACACTGAAAACTGTTTAATGATACAGGGTAGGGGGAAAAGGGTAAGGAAGAGTAAGAGAGGGGATTAGACTGATTAAAGTACTATATATTTACAGGTAAAATATCAAGGCAAAACCCACTGAAAAATGAACAGACACTAAAACAATGACAGGAATGTAAAACAGGTCATGTTAAGGGGAGGGTAAGTGAAGAGGGCAAAGAAGGGTGAATATGGTTGAGGTACTTTCAATAAAAGTGTGAATATGGAACATTGAAACCTGAGTCATTTTAGAAAGGGCAGTAGCAGAAGAGAGATTAATGGAGGGGAATGAAGCAAACCAGGGTACAATATATGCATATTTGGAAATGTCACAACAAATGCCACCCATAACTATCATATACTAATAAAAGCATTTAAAAAATAAAACTTCACCACCTCCACCCCAAAATAAAATAAATTTCACAAACACAGTGGGAAGGAGATGTGAGTTCAATCCCTAGTATCACAAAATAAAAATAGTTGGAAATAAATAGTTGGGAAAGTATTAGTGGAGAAGAAAAGGAGCCTCTGAAAGTTATACTCTCAAATGTATGCAGAAGAGGACATTAGTCAGTCACATGAACATCAACTGGATATTTGACATTCAGGCATTACTACAGGTTTATTTTTAGATGTGATAATGATACTGCCTGTATTTTATTTTTAAGAGTCTTTATCTTTTAGAGATGTATACTAAAATATTTACAAAGGAAATGAAATGGTTTGTGCCAAAATCATGATGGGCTGACTACGGATCAAGATAAAACAAATAGCTGTATATCAGTAATTGAGCTGGAAGATAGCATTATATTGTTTTCTGTATTTGTACTAGTTTGTCTACTTCTGCATGTGTTTGACAATTTCTATTAATAAAAAGTAAAAAACAAACTACAGTCATAGAAAAACATGTAAAAACCCACATTTAAGCTGCCAATTAAAATCAAGAAGAGGTTAATCTCATTTTTTTGCAGGAATCAACCATGTGGACAAATGAGAAAATACCGTTTGTCTACAGAAGGCAGCAATCCTACATAAATATGGAGGACTCTGACTTAAGATAGGTAAGTTAGATCATTCCCCTTCACACACTAAAAATATATATTATATATATATATATATATATATATATATATATATATATATATCTCACTTTTTGTGCCCCTAGAACTTTTGTTCTGCTATGGATCCACATTCCCACTATAACCCAGTACACTGCCCACTTCTCAACTCCACTTGGTGATATTCGTCCACCTAAGTGTTTCTGTTCCCAAACTTGCTCTTACTCAGAATTCTCAATGTCAGCAGTGTCACTGACAGCCACATAGTAAATCATGTGGAAAATTGGGGAATTTTCATGAACATTTTTGTGTCTTTACCAAAGTCCTGTCTCACCCTCCAGGTTTAAATCATCTATCTACTCCCTGCTACCTCCTCTATTTTCCAAGCCCCTAAAGTCTTATGTCCAGCTACTAGTAGCTTTCTAACCCATCCCACCTAATCTACTCTGATCCCTCATCTATGACAGACATACAATCTATTCTCCAACAGACATTCACACATGGAGCTCTCCATGTTGTTCTTCCTTTCCTTTGTGAAATGTGCCAGCTTCTGGAGCTGCAGTGCCTAAACATTTGGTCTTCCTTTTACCTGAAAGTCTCCAGCCTCCCACTCACCTTATTAATCTCTACGCACCTACCAACCCTGAACCAGATTACCTTAGTTTTCCTGAATTACCATGTCCTAACCTCCCTGGTCTTTGTTTTTATACAGACCTATGATCCTTTGACAATATCATCTAATCATAATTAAAATATAGCAATTATAATCATCTGTTTACTGTTGGCTCCACCTCTGTAGTGAAGCATAATAGCATGTGTCTTCTTCACCTTTATATCCCCAGCACATATGTCCAGTGTATTCCATATATACAACATGTAAATAAATATTTCCTATGAATGGATTAATAGTTATTTGCTTTAGGTTGGATAGTACTTGAATGTGTCCTTAAGAGTTCACGTATTGTAGTCTTGGTCCTTAACAACATAATGTTGGGAAGTTATATTAAGACCTTTAATAGGCAGATCTTAGGCTTGAAGTGATGGCTCATGCCTATAATTGCAGCTACTCAGGAGACAGAGATCAAAAGGACCACAGTTCAAGGACAGTATGGCAAAACAAAAAATTAGCAAGACCACATCTCAACATACAAGCTGTATGTGGTGGTCACACCTGTAATCCCAGCTACATAGGAGGCATAGGTAGGAGGATTTTGGTCCAAGGCCAGCCCTGAGCAAAAATACAAGACCCTAAAGAAAAAAGATCTGGAGACATGACTCAAGTGGTGGAGCACCTGCCTCAATACCAATTCACAAATAATGAGAGCAGGATTTGAAAAAATTTATTTTATTTATTAAATTTATTTTATATAAAACAAATTTATAAAATAAATTTAAATTTATAAATTTTATTTATAAATAAATTTATTTATAAAATAAATTTATTTATTAATTTATTAAATTTATTTATTTATTATTCCTTAGACAAAGAGGAAGACAGGGAGAGTCACCCTCTCAAAGTTCAGTCATCCCACATTTGAGAAAAAATGTCTGCTTTTTAAAGGGGAATTCAGGGACTCTGAGTATGTGATGGTATGTATGTCCCAGAGTAGGTGCTGGCCTTTGTTCTCCAGGTGCCCTGGCATCACATATCCAATGCTGTATGTCTTGGCTTACAGGTTTACTTCTCTGGTCAGGGAGAGGTAAAGGTTAGAAGACTGTCTGGTTTAATTGAAGAGTAAAGGATGTTAACCTTGGACTCTCCAGTATGTAGACAAAGGGCGAAAAGTGTTGGTTTAATTAATAAGCAGAGTAAATTTCTATTACTAGCAAAAGTTTTTTTCCTTTTGTAGTCCCTGTTACATAAGGGCAATGCTAACCCTTGGGGATCACCCTTTGCCACAAGGTAAAAAGGTGCGGAACTCAGAGCTTTAAGATATAATGTCTGCCCTGCTGTGTTTCAGGATCACTTTGGGCCAACTATAACTTCCTATTTACTTATTTCTCCCTTTTGGAATAGAATTATTTGTCCTACTTCTGTCATGCCATCGTATCTTGAAGTAGGTAACTTTTTTTAAAAAAAATTTTACAGAAGGTCACAACTTGAAAGAGTTTGGCTTGCATGTCATAGAAAACTATGGTCTCTTGGACTTTTTTTCTTTTTTTTGTGGTACTGGGACTTGAACTCAGGGCCTACACTTTAAGCCACTTTTTGTGTTAAGTATTTTCAAGATACGGTCTTGTGAACTATTTGCCCAGGCTGGCTTTGAAATGTGATCCTCCCAATTTCTGCCTCCTGAGTTGTTAGGATTACAGGCATAAGCCACCAGTGCCCAGCTGGTCTTGGACTTTTGAATGATACTGGAACAGTTAAGACATTGGGACTGTGGGTTTGGAATTAGTACAGTTTTCATTGTGACAGGGACATGACCCTGGGAGTCAGAGGTAGAAAGCCATGATTTAAATACAGTTTGAGTTTATCCTTCAAAAGTTCATGTGTTGGGGCTCTGCAACTAGGAGAAAGGATTGACAAATGGGACTACATGAGACTAAAAAGTTTCAGCACAACAACAATGAAAATAAGTCATCAACAGATTGAAAGGCAGCCCGCAGAATGGGAGAAAAATCTTTGCCTGCAATACATCTGACAAGGGATTAATAACCAGAATATATAGGTTGCTCAAGGAACTAAACTCCCCCAAAATCAATGACCCAATGAAGAAATGGGTAAATGAATTGAACAGGGCTTTTTTTCAAAGGAAGAAGTCAAAAAGGCTAAAAAAACACATGCAGAAATGCTCAACATTTGTGGGCATAAAGGATGCAAATCAAAACCACATTAAGATTCCACCTTACTCTAGTTACAATA